AATTATTTATTTTGTATGACTACAAAATACAAATTACAATATTGTGTGTTGTTGATAAGCAATTACTTAAATACTGATAACAAATCCTTGGCGGATGACGTAGACATGATGCGTATCACTGAGTTGCTGTGATACCTAGTTATTTGTATCATGGGTAGGATGTTCCGTACATAGAATGAACCCTCAACAATGTACGACACGAATCCACCCACCAAACTCCCTCTGCACTGTTTCTACAAAATTCAAAAAATAATCCCTTAACTCAATTCATACAGTTTCCCCATCAGGACCCCTCTCGATTTCAATACACAATTAATACTGGCCCAAGAAGTACAATTAACCAAAGCCGAAGCCCGTAAAAAAATCCAAACAGCACATCTCAATCCCATCTTCTTCAAAACTAATGATCTCATCCTTGTCAAAACACATAAGCTCAGCAACCAGATTGATAAAAAAATATCCAAATTCTTTTTATTACATGAAGGTCCTTTTAAAATTAAAAGTTTTAAAACTACAAACGCTTATGAGTTGGTCCACCCGGATGATGATACTCCTCGAGGTATCCATAACATTATACACTTGAAACCTTATATACCCCCCGTCGTACAGGGAGTACTAATAATACTCCCTGGCCGGCAGAGTCTGAGACACTCTTCTTTTAATAATTGCCGGTGTTGTAGTGACGCTTGTTGCCAGATAGGACCTGGGCGTGGACCGACCAGGCTTCAGCTACCTCCAGGCTTACGGGTCGCGTCTGCCGACTCCAGGGGAGTTAACTTAAAAATCTCGCTCTCCCTGTGGTCTAGTATGGGGCGACCTGGGCTGAAAACCTGCGGTTCATAGACCCAGTGCTCTTGGGCGACTCCATTGCGGAGCAAAGGGGCTACAGACCCCGCCTATTGACCGCCCATTCACTACAACCTGCAGGAACATCCTTAATAGCCCCCTTAATAATGTTAGGTCCCACATGGCTTGCCATGTGTGTAAAATAAAATGTCCAGAGTACATTACGCAGTGCAAGGTCCATGTTACCTAGCCTGTACACAATAGTTTTATTTTTATTTTTTTTGTCTTGTCCATTCTACGCTAAGATCCCATAGTGTAGTCGTACCTAGTTCTGTCGTGACCCCAGTAAAGGCATAGACAGCTCTAGAGTCCCCTTATCCCCTATTCCCTTGTTGGGATTTTATTATTATTTGTGATATTAGGAAAATAGTTATTGGTATCATCCTCCCTGGACTCGTCAGGTTATTATAATTGGTAGGTTCTTATTATTTTATTCAAGTGTAGCATACACCCCCGTGTAGTTCCCAAATATTATTTTTATCATTACACTGATAGAGTTGCAGTTTTATTATTCTTGTTATTATTATGATGCCAGGTACCTTAACTTTTTTTTTCTTCTCAACTTATTATTAATATTCATTTATGGTTGCGACTAATCATTATCATTTAGTCTGTCTATCAGTATGTATACTGTAATAAGATGGTTGTTCTCTACAATATTATATCCCTACTTAAATTATTATGTCTATAGTCCCCTAAAATTCAGCTCCTCTGTTTCTACAACAAGCGGTTTTCAGTTCTGACTTATGTAACAACTTCAACAACTTGCCGGGGGGGGGGGTATGTAATGTCGCAGAATTTTAGACCTCTGTTAATATTATAATAATTCACTGAATATCCCTTTTTCCCACATTAAAATAGCAGTGTACCTGTCGGTCTGTGACCATTCCATTAGTTTTGTCATTAATAATATCCCCGACCCCACCCCTGTAACAGTGTACACCGTCACCACCGCAGCACGCCGCCATCGGTTGCCGTCGGTGCCTCTGTCGCGTCCGCCGGTACGCTCGCCACAGTGCTTTCTGTTCCCTAATTACCGTTATTATAAAAAGTCCCGCAATACGCATACCTTCCCCACTACAACAAGACTTGGACGACATCGGCCGGGACTGGACACCGTCGGCTAGCCATATTCACTTTCTTTTCTCACGGCTTTCCGACTAGGCATCGCGAACCAGGGCCGTTCAGAGGGGGGGGGGGCAACGGGACCATTTTGCCCCAGGCCCCATTGTTGTAATATTTTTAGGAGGCCCCCAAAAAGTCTTGATGTATAATAATTAAAAACAAAGAACTATCACCGATCACCGTTATTGAGACGAAAATTTTCTTCTTTGCGTCATCCACTTAATATTAATACTTAAAATAAAATTAAAATATAATTTAACACTTATACAGTCATACAATGCGCGAGTAAGAGCATGACGTCCAGTCACGTAGTCAAAACAATTTCCTCCACCGCACCGCTCGTCTATGCCGCCGTTTCTACTTAATAATATTTTAATATATTAGTATAATATGTAGTATAGNGCGGCGGCGGCGCTGTCCCTACTCCCCACTCCCCGTTACCAGCTGCCGTTGGCCAACACGGCGCGACCGGTGGTGGCCGATCGCCGGGAAGCGGTCGCGGGGTGAAGTGGAGGGGGCAGTTTCCCCCTCTCGCGTCGACAGCCCCCTCTGCGACGACAAAATGACGCAGTGCAGACACCGGCGAAACACGGCTACACTTTGGGCCAACCATACACAGTCTCCCGTGCGTCCATCGCTAACGCCTTATTAGACTGCGTTATTGAAGGGACAAGTGGCCATCGGCCACAAAAAAAGATGTTAACCAACTGGCCAGTGACGAATTTAAAGATTTGTGGGGCAAGGAATATTTATGTTTTCCCATCATCACATTTCTCGTTCATTAAAGTACATTTCTTATCAAAATAACACGTCTAATAAGTAGGTAATAATAATGAGTTTCTATTCTCCTAAGTCCGAAACAATAATCGTATAATACAGAGACGCCGGCGTTTTTGACAGTATAAGAGTACATGACATTTCTAATTATTCTCAAGGCTAAAACACCTACAAATACTGAAAAAATTCTTTAAATATTAATTTACCTTCCTATTGTATTTGTCATAAGAAAAATCAACTTTCGGCTGAACTTTCTACAACGGTGACTTTGGTCTTATCAAATTATTCGAGTGCTATGTAGGGTGGACTGGAGGCAAATTATTCGAAAATATGATTAGCAAATAAACCAATAATAATAAGAAAAACACTGCGTCGGCCGATCTCGATCAAAATTCTAGAAAAGTATCAATTGAAGAACGAACATACAATTATTAAGTACTTCGATTTCGATGTATTAAAATCAAATTTTGAATGACGTATTTATAAGTTATATGTAGAGCTCAGATTTAAAATTTAAATGCCCTCAAAACTATTAAAAAAAAATGTTTAACAATTCTTGAGTAAAAAAAATACAAACTATAGGAAACAAATGGGATTACTGATTACTACAGATTACCATGAAACACCAACTGACCAATTAGTTGTTACTGGTTTGAGTACCGGAAGCATAAAATCTTACGACGTATTGAAATCCTAAATAGTACCTACGATCGACAAGACGACATAATATGGTGAATGGTCGGAACAAATTTGTTTGAATCACCAATTAAGTTTAATCTACAAATGTATATAATGTATTATATGCACTAAAAGTTAACGAAATTAACTAAGAATTATAATAAACTCTCAAAAAACGAAATGGAAATTGAAAAAAAATGTGAAATAAAAAGTTTTACAATTCTCTGATGCATGAAACGGCTTTTTTATTTGAAAAGCATTGCCAGGGGCTTCCTAAAATATAATGTATTTTGAATTAAAGTCCGGGCCCTAGACATATAAGTATTTAAGACTGAGTTTAACGGAATAGATAATTTGGTCCACTAGACACTAGCAAGATGTTCTCAATAGAAAATGCCCTTAAAAAGTCAACAAAAATAATATTATATACGATACACCAGGTGGATTACTTTGTATTAACTCGGGGACATAATAATATAATATGACACCGGCGACTGGCTCACCGTGCAATTGCACAGTATAGTAAAATTGGCCTAGTCCACCAATGATCATATCTATAATATCAATTTATTTTCTAAAAACTTGCATAATAGTATAGTACAAATACATAATACATTTTATTGTATTTTCCTGAAACATCACGATTTTGTTTAAGATTTAAAAATAATTTTCAATTACGCGTGTACCAATACTCAACACTATAATCTATATTTTGCAATTTATTTTTTTAGACAGCAAAGTGTGGCCGAAGAAAATAATGTTAATGTTAAAAACCGTACCCAGTTCTATAGTACCTATACCTACCTATAATATGTCTGTCGTAAGATTTTGTAACTCATAATTGTATTGTAAACTACTAAACAAAATTAAAAGGGCCTTAAAAGTGTAATGAAGTTGGAAGGTGTCGGTGTATATGAGCTTGTAA